TAGATTGCAAGAACACAAAAGTTATATAAGAAATAATAAAATAGAAATGTCAGCTATAGCCAAACATGTAAAAACTACCCAACATACTGTTGTGTCAGCGGAAGTCACGTGACTAGTATCACGCCACGTCCTTCTCGAACATTCACGCCCCTTCCTTAAATCTCGAGATCCTTCTAGATATAGTGTAGTCTTGTATATATAAACCAGTAAGAACTGAGGCTAAGGTAATGTGTAATTGATCTGAGTATTCTTGAGTCGAGCACGTGAGACGTTCGTTGAGAATTATAGGGTTTGTTATAGCGCAACTGTTAAAATTAAGTGTATTGCAAAGTTATATTCAGAAAGAATAAACCAGTTTTATTTAAGAAAGGACTTGTGTCGCTAAAGTTTCGTAGGAACGCATTTACGGAAAATTAACTAACGAACGGAGACGTAACAATACAATATTATGGGAAAAACTTTAGTTTTAGCTCAGCCTCGAAGTTGTAAGTCATTAAATATTGGAGAAACATTAGAAATAATGAAATATAAAAAACAAAACCAAGTATTAAATAGAGAAGAAGGACCAGCAATTCAATATGTTGATATATGGCGAGATATATTATATTTTATTATTATTATTATTAACGGAAATACGTAAATAACAATGAAGTAATGCGACAAGGGGGAAAGTATAAAATAGTCTTGTAAGTTACTCCTGAGGATGACGTAGATCACGTCAAAACAAGTACTTGTAGAGATATTTTAAAGTGGAAGCTGTGCGGCTTCAATAAAGTCTCTCTTCTTGTTTATTTTCTTTCTCCTCCAACCACTGCTGTATTCTCTTTTCTTTTTATTTTCTTTCTTCTCCAACCACTGCTGTTGTCTTGCTTCTTGTTTCTTTTCTTTCTCCTCCAGCCACTGCTGTAGTCTCTCTCTTGTTCATTTTCTCGTTCTTCTTGTTTCTTTTGCTGTTCTTGTATTGCTGCCATCAAATCTGCAAAGTTGTAGTTTAATTTGGCACTTCTCGTTTCCATTTTTTTTCAATCCCTCTCCTGACACCAGTTTGTTACGTCTCTGGTCGTTTGTTAATTTCCCGTAAAAATTCTTTCCGAAGAACTTCAGTGATACAAGTCCTTTCTTAAAAAAAAATAGTTTATTCTTTCTCAATACAACTTTACAATACACTTAATTTCCACAGTCGCTTTAACTTAAACACATGCTATAATTGACAATGATTCACGCCCTTTACTTACGGTCACTACTGCTCACTTGACTCGATTATCTGTCTCTATATCTCCCTATCTGCAATTATCTATGCTGTCACTTCTCCCCTCCATTTTATTTGCCGGCCTTATATATACAAAAATAGAGGGTGTCTGTTAAACACTCGAGCCTTCATGATCCTTCTAGAACCTCATCACGTGTTACCAGAATCACGTGACTTCCGCTGTCGTAACAATAATATTAGTTATAGTACTTATATAATATCTAAACATTTAAACATATAACAAATATAGGTATATATTTTATTCTACTTTTCTTATTTACAACTCTGCAGGTAGTTTCTCATGTTATTAAAGGCATTAATAACACTAGCTTCATGAGATATGGTGTTAACCATATTTACGTTGCTCTTAGGTTTGTGTATGACTACTTGTGGATTGAATTGTACCTGTTTCCTCAGTCTGGTAGGAGTCACTTCCGGTTGAGTTGATATAGTACCTTGTGATCTAAGATAATAATCATGGGTCACTACATCAGCTTGTGTCGTTAGTGGGGTATTAGGGATATTACCCTCAGTTACTTGGTTACTATCCTTATTGTTATCAATACTAACTGGGGTATCTTCTGTTGTTATTACTTTATCACCTAGTATTATGCTATCATCGTTCTCTACTTTTGGTATTTCTGGTTCTGGTTCTATTATTTCTTCTTCATCATAAAAAGATGAATCAAACTCATTCAAGTTATCTGCCTCTTCCAGATTACACCATCTTGTTCTGTTTGATTAGTTTCTTCTTCTACACACTCGTATTGATAAGGCTTATAACCCTTTACTTTCTTTAACCTGTTCACATGTACTAACTGTTTACCTTTTTCATAGATTTCCTGAATTTCAAAATTAACTGGACTCGTCTGTTTCAAGACTCTAAAAGAACCTTTCCATAACTTGGCTAACTTTTTAATATTTCATTTCTTAACAATTGGGGTATATAACAACACTTTATCCCCTAACTTTATATCACTCACCTGTGCCTTTTTATTTACTTGTCGTTCTCTACTTTCAGCAGCTTTAGTTAAATGTTCATTAGCTAACTCAAGTGCTATTTGCATTCTTTGTAGTAATTCTGCTTTATAGTCATAAGCTATCACATCACTATTTTTCTTAGGAGCTCATATCTCTTGCATAGGTAAGATAACATCTCTACCATACAATACCAAGAATGGACTTTTCTGAGTTGACTCATTCCCAGCACTTCTATATGCTAATAGTAACAAGGGAATCTGCTCATCCCAAGTTTCTGATCTTTCTCACAAAATTGGGAGATTATATCTAACAAGGTTCTATTAAATCTCTCCACTAAACCATTAGCAGCTGGATGATAAGCTGTGGTTTCGATTTTATTCACACCTAATAATTCACAAACTTCCTTCATTAACTTAGAAATAAAGTTACTACCGCTATCTTTTAATAGATATTGGGGTATACCATGTCTAGCTATTACATGATTTACAAAAGATTTAGCTATTGTTTCTGCTTTCTGATCAGGTATGCATATAGCCTCAGGAAACCTGGTTAAGTAGTCTGCAACTACTAACACGTATTTGTTTCCTGGGTAGGATGTAGGCAATGGGCCTAATATGTCCATAGCTACTAGCTGAAAAAGTGTCGTTAAACTCGGCATTCTTTGGAAAGGAACGTTCCTCAAATGTGGACTGGTTTTTCGTTTCTGGCATTCTTAGCACGATTCACAGTACTCTTTAATGTCCTTCCACATGTTTGACCAAAAGAACCTTCTGCTTATTCTACTATATGTTTTAGCAAAAGCTAAGTGTGCTGCAAAAGGAGTGTCATGATATGTTTTCATGACCTTTGTTCTCAGTTTAACTGGTACAACTATTTGTAAAGACCTACGGTTCTTAATTTTTCTACATAAAATATCGGAATCTATCATGTATTCTGTTTCTTCTTCTTGTGTTACCTTATTACATAAGTCATTTATTTCCGGATATTTCTTTTGCTCCTTCCCTAATTACCTGATCTAAGTCCCAAATTACTTCTAATTCTTTTTCCTGTTCAGATTGTACTTCTTTTATCTGATTCATAGTTTGTTTTTCTACAGTTTCGTTATTTTCTACTCTGATTCTACTTAAAGCATCTATGTTCGAATGTTTTTACCTGGTCTATGTATTGTCACGACAGCGGAAGTCACGTGACGCTGGTAACACGTAATGAGTATCTAGAAGGATCAGGGAACATCATGAA